AGTGAACCGAAGCTCTTCCAGTCGTCTTACTTAGTATTCGCAGTGCAGTGAAGGCTAACAGTGGAAACACTGCAGCTCAACTCGTTTTGAACATGTTCTTCTTCATATGGTAGAACATCAAATTCATGTTAACACTTACCTTTTAACATATGTGGACCATAGCAGTAGCTGTAGGGTTTTTTTGAAGGCTTTGTATGTGAAGACCTATCCACGTATACGCTTATAATTTTTCCACCTTGATTCCGTTACATATGCATTCGGCTGGTCCTTTGATTAGCAATAATATATCGTGTTAACAACAGTCTTACTAATTCCGTCAAATCGAAAATCCTGGAAACGGCTGAAGCAATTGCTATTCGGAATAAAAAGCAGGAGCTTTGAATTAAAAAGATGACGATATATAAATACGAAGGGACCGGACAACACTGGTCCCTAGATATGTTACGACGAATAACATGATCATAGATAAGATCATGTAAACCGCAGGAAGATGATAAGATATTGTAGTGGCTAACCCAAAATCTTTCAAAACTTACCTTATTTTTTCAATCAAAATTACCTTTGGTAACATGGGTCCCCCCAGTTATGCGAAAGATGACCGTAAACAGTTGTTACGCAGCCTGGAATGAAAGCCACGCTATGGTGAAAATTATCTTTCTTTAGAAAAATTTAAACATAGTTTGAATGAACTTCAGGGACCAACGACAGTGCAAACATCAGAAGTCCATGAGACATGTAATGATTACATGGATCAGCCGCATACAGGAAATCATAGTGAACGTTATACATTGTTTTAAAGTTTAAAATCCACGCTAAGAGAAGTCAACAAGTTTTCGTCCTCCTAAAATCTGTATAAATATCTAACAATGTGGGACAATGTAGGTCGAAGCATCTTTGAGTTTGGTCTATTTAATATCGTTTAGGGAAACCAACTTTGGTAAAGCGATAACATTTTTAAATCCACACTATTCTAGCCCACAGTAAGTCGATTTAATAGTCTATTGGAAGAGATTTCGTGCTGAACTATCAAAGGAATACTTACTACAGACAATAACTCAAAACAAGTGACCCATCATTTACACCTACAGTAGAAAACCAACATGCTAGACAAGCTGTTCACTGTTACCATGTATATTATTATTTCAAATAGGTTTTGACAACTGGTTCTCTCTGTAATCTTGACCTTGATCGTTTTCGATTTCAAAACATCTTGGTTTGGTATTTTGGAAATTTCGTTATCGGATCTTAAAAACTGAAGATTTGTTGTAGTGTATTATAATTATTTTTGGAATAATATATTTTGGTTGATTGCTCGCAATTGACGAACAAATTTTGGTACCTGGATTAAGATTTTGGTACTTGTCAGTTGGTCAGTATATTAGGAGTGTACCAATCTGCCGCGCTTCGAAAACAGACCAGGGTAGAATTTGGACATGAAATCAAAGATTGTACATTAAAGTAATGGAATGTGAAACTTATGAGCATGGCGTCGGCTCATAGTCAGTTGACAATGTGATAAACATTAGAACAACAATTGATCTGAGGATCAGATTGATGGTAAATTTTCTTCAGATAACATACTTACATTTACTACAGAAAGTGGTTAACTTCAGTCTTAATCTGTTAGGAGAATTTTAAAAAATACTTTAACATGAAGCTAGACTTCAGGTTTCCCTCATTGCTTTACAGCTCAAAAGCCGATAAAATGACAGCAACAAATTCTATGTGGTTCAAAGCAATACATACTTTGATAAATCTGGACAGTGCAATAGTAGACAAAGATGAACCCATTAACCATACCAGCGAAGATGACAAAATGAATGTTAAAATCGGGTGCAGTCCATCGCAAAGAAGTATTCAATAGAATACCTAACCATCCTGATTAGGTAAACTGGTTATCAAGATTGCTATGATGCTAATACACTACATAATTATCATAATCTTCGTATTCTAATTAAACAATCCAAATTTTGTATGAGACAGTCGTTAGATCCAAACTATTTTGGCCTGAAGAATAGCTATCTAGGTGGGTAAGATACGCGCCCTTGCCCGGTTGAAACTAAAACAAAGTGATTGGGTAAAATGACGGTTTAAAAAAAATATGACTATCTAGCTATTCAACCAATAATTGTTCAATTAATCAAATTAATTACAACAAATAAATGTTATTCTATCCTGTTTGAATAGACTACGCACAGATTCGTTCAAAAGATAATATTTGGTTGCCTTATAATACAGAGTGTTTCCAATTCTAGAAGAGTGCTTTAATTCGTAATCAGAAATGCACAATTCCAGTTAGTACAAGCAACACAATCAAAATGAGGGACAAACCAATATAGCTGACGCCAAGACTAAGTATCAACTAAAATAAACATAAATTCAGTTCAAGAAGAAACATGAAAACTTAGTGAAGGTGTAAGAAAAATAAAAAATAAAATACAAATATTACCAACTCAAATGGAATCAAAAAGACTAACAAAATGTAAAACTAAAGGAATCAATAGGAACAAACTGCAAGTGTATACATGTAGGGATTTTCACACACAAAACATTCAAAATGGATCTTATGACGATTGACGAAATAATGACAAAGAGAGGATTGAATAGCAGTACAAAATAAGTCAATCCAGTCGCAAAATATTCAGAGATGCTGTAGGATCTCAGTTGTTTTCATATATAGATTCCATAACTGTCAAACAAAAATTCTTTTCATCGATATGGCTAAATTGAGTAAATCGTGCCACTGACATAACTATATTTATGAATAGATGTAGTTATTACAAGACAGAGAACAATAAGAAAAACATTGAACTGTATTGCAAAATATTCAGTTGGTACCACCATTCCCGCTTTACAAACGAATTCAACAAGAATAGTGTCTTTAATCCAGTATAAACATTAATTAAACAACGTGGGAAGCAAGTAGTGCTGGTCGAACTTGTTCGAGCACATAAGCTTTCACCATTCAGTACAGTGAATAGGACATATAATGAGGTAAACAAATAATGCACTTATAGTACAATTGAATGTTTCGTGTTATATATTCCAAGTTGCTGTAATAGTATCGTAAAGTTCCATCTTGTTTGTGCTGCAAATCAGAGTGGCAAACAACCTTGTACTTTATCTTTTAACGCAGCCATTCTAAAGTATTTTTCATAGACAACTGCGTGGGTAAGTTTGAGTCCGCCTGATTTTGAATATGAATGACCGCTTTATACCCGGGGTTGGCTGTGTCAATCTTGGCGTCCAGTTCCTTAATCAGAATGGTCAAGTCTTTTCCTACACAGTACTATACAATGGGTAAAACCTGCTCTTAACATTGATTTATTTCATCTTCACTGACATAACTGATGGGTTAATCGCACCGGATGACTTTATATATGGCCCCTCTTCTCTCGTTTCGAAAGATGCCGTCATGTTTCTGGATCCGTGCGACCTTCGTCCTATGAGCGCACTTAACGATTTGCATATTGTATGTCCTATCCATTTCCGTCGTCTTTTCCTAATTTCTTCTTCACCTGGGAGCTAGTTTGTTCTCTCCCGCAAAAAGCTGTTACTGATGATATCCGGCCAATGGATGTTGAGTATCTTGCGTAGACAACTTCACAAATACTTGTACCTTCTTGATGGCGGTTGTAAAAGTCCTCCAAGTTTCAGCTCCGTACAGTAGAACGGCCTTGACGGTCGTATTGAAGATTCTCACTTTGATATTGGTTGAAAGTTGTTTTGAGTTCCACATGTTCTTCAAGTGAAGGAATGCGGCCCTTGCTTTGACAATCCTCACCTTTACATCTGCATCAGGTCCTCCTTGTTCATCGATGATGCTTTCCAGGTATGCGAAGGATGCTACATCTTCTAGAGTTTTGCCATCAAGAGTGATTGGATCTCAGTTCTCCGTGTTGTATTTGAGGACTTTGGTTTTCCCCTTGTGTATGTTGAGGCCTACTGATGCAGAGGCGGCTGCTACACTGACTGTCTTTATCTGCATTTGTTCATGTGTATACAATAGGAAGGCTAGGTCATCTTCGAAGTCCAAATCGTCTAATTGATTCTGAGCCGTCCATTGTATGTATATCGAATCGAGATTGTTATTATACAGAAAATGTGTCTTACCTATTCTTGAATATGGTATTTTAGTCTACAGTAATTGCAGACATAATGACCTGATTAAAATTGAAGGTGTTCAAAGAAAGTCCATCAAAGCTGTTCTGGGGTATTCCGATAACAAAGATTATCACCAAAGATGTCAACAGCTCAACTTAGAACCTCTTTGGATCAGACGTATCAAATTAAATCTTGTCTTTATCTACCGGCTTATTGACGGTATTTCCTACTCTTCGGTATCCACCCCTTCATGCCTTATGATATCATCCCATAATCTACGCAATAAGGAGAATATTCTAGCGATTCCAGGAACCAACACAAACTTACGTCAGAATTTTTTCCTTATTCGCTACTCAACCATGTGGAACAGACTACCAGTGAACCTCCGTTGCAGTGAAACTACAACCCGGTTCAAAAGTCTCCTTGATGATTTTCTTTCCGAAAGTGGATTATTTCACCTATTGAATATCAATGTATTCAACAATGCACGACCGATCCTTGCGGAATCCAGCTTGTTGATCTCGAAGTAGGGCATCTACTGCGTCTTTCATCCAAATCAGCAACACTCTGTTAAAGACGTTCCCTGGTATTGACAGTAATGTAATGGCTCTGTAGTTTTCACATTTGCTCAGTGTAACGGAAAAAGAACAGTGAAAATCCCTCTGCAGCTTCTTTGTTGAACAGTATTTTCATTTATTTGTTCCTTCTCTCTTTTGTGTATTCCAACCTTTGTTTCGACCTCGTTTAACCATGTCTTTTGTTCTTCAGTCTTCCCCGTTTGAGCCTTTATTATGTGACTTTGATTAAAGACTTATTTTTGTTACCTAATTTTCTATTGCATGTTGCCGGACCATTGACAGTAAGGTTGTGTTTGACTAAGCTCAAGGTCACGGCGTGGTTCATTTTGTGACTGTTAACCCTCTGACTGTCTGCTTGGGAGAATTGCTGCAATCCCTGCAGATAGATATTTGATCCCATCTTATTGGGAATATTTGTATTGATTCTCAGGTATCAAACCCTTTAGTATTAACTGTCTCTTTCATTGTTTAGCGCGCTACTTTGCGTTAGAGAAACTTCTGACTGTATAGCACAGGCTGTACCGTTTGAGGTATTTTGTATTTTTGATGTAATTTGTTCTGTTTTCTTAATTAGAACCGTTTATATTGAGCACAGAGTTTGTGTTTTGATATAATATAATACGAGTATCTCAAAGACGCGTTGTGAGCTATACAGAGGAACTTGGTCTGGTCTAATCGAATAAATTTTGGGTTCGTCAGTCCGTTGTTCCAACCGAATATTGGCTGTTCGGTCGTTACAGTTCTCAAACGAACAGTAATCTCAAGTGACAAACTCTGGAATGCCTGGAAAGCACAATAAGGTCAACGAAAACTTGGCATTGGGCCACGGAGAAATGCAATCGGATACACCTCCAGATGTACGGCAAGTCAAATTAGATGCATTTTCATGTCATGGCTCTAATGTTAGTTTATTAAGTAAACGTAGTAAAGTTAGCTCTAGGATTACCTTAGCAGAGTTAAAAGAAAGGCAATTATTAGAAATGAGGGACTTGAAAGATAGACAGAGGAAACAACTACTGTGCTTTCAGAGAGAGTTTGGGTCGTTAAGGCTGAACAAAAGCACGTGTAGCAAATTATCTTCTGTTTCTAACTGTGATGACAGAGAAAAGGAGTACGTTCACAGGTTCGTAAGTCCTTCTCATGACCTTAGGATAAAGTCTCTAGAAAAGTCAAAACGGTTAGATTATCCAGGAACGAAGGAGAAAGTGACCTTGGAATCTCTAAGTGTAGGTCATGAACTTCCAACAGTAGAGCACGATGCCTACTTCGATGAAAGTTATAATATTGTTCCTTTACCTAGAGGAGTGGCTGAGGAAGACATTGCTACCCCTGTTATTGGCAATGAGTCTGGTATGTGTAAAGCTGGCTTCACCAAAAATGATGCTCCCATAGCCGTATTACTCCCTATTGTTGGAAGAACTAGACATCAAGTGACTGTGGAAATGGATGGAAAGGACAGTCATGTGGGAGACGATGCTCGACCGAAACGTGTTATCCTGACACTGAAGTACCGAATTGAACATGGTATTGCGACTAAGTGGGGTGATATGGAGAAGATGTGGTACCACACATTCTACAAAGGGTTGCGAGTGGCAACAGAGAAACATCCGGGGTTGTTGAGAGCAGTTTCATTGAACCCGAAGGCAAACTGTGAGATGACAAGGATCATGTTTGAGAGTTTTAATACACCAGGTACGTGTGCTGCTACTCAAACGGTGTTGTCGCTATGTACACTATGTACAACTGGTATAGTGTTGAACTTAGGTGACGGTGTGACCCACACAGTTCCGATTTATGAAGATTATGCGTTGCCTTATACTGTTTTGCGATTGGACTTTGCTGGTAGGGTTCTTGCCGACTTTAGGATGAAGATCCTGACTAAGACAGGTTGCAGTTCCTCTGTCTATTCGTGGAACATACTCAGGCGCAAACCACCGGACATCGTTTTACTCTATAGTAAGTCTAGAGTGGCACCTATAAAACAGGCAACTGTGCCTAGACTGGAACTAACAGCGGCAGTATTGAGTGCTAGAATGGGGGAAGTTTTAAATAAGAACCTTCCTCATGTGTTTGACAAGACTCACTTCTCGATGGATTCTATGATAGCACTGTACTATATAAAAAATACAGATAGTAGGTATTCCACCTTCGTGGCTAATCGTCTGGCCGCTATTCGTCATTTAACATCTGTGGACCAGTGGGGGCACGTAGAATCTAATGAAAATCCCGCTGACTGGACATCACGAGGCATACGGAAGGAGCTAGATTTAAAGAACTGGATTGAGGGTCCTTCCTTCTTGAGGAAGAGGGAGTCTGTAGGAACACTAACGCTTATGTGCGAAAACCCCCCAGAAAATGTTGAATTTAAAGGATGTCACACGACCAACGTAGTTGCGAAAAAACATAGCTCAAGTCCAATTCTGCTATATCACTCAAATTGGATAAAGCTGATTAAAGCGGTAGCATGGCTCAGAAGATACGTGATCTATGTAACCATCATGTACTCCCATCACGATGACAGGTCCCTAAGTGTGGGCTATCTGTCAGTTGATGAATTGGATGCAGCTAAACACAAGGTATTAGCCTTAGTGCAAAAGGGAGTGTATGGGGAAGCAGTTAAAGTGTCTCGATATAGTGGCGTAAGCGCAACTGTTATAAAAGAGCTAAAAAATCTTTCACCTACGCTAATCGATGGATTGCTTTGTGTCGGCGGACGATTAAATTACTCGGATTATCCACTCTCAATCAGACATCCGGCAATTTCACCCAGTCATCACTTCGTAACAGAACTTATTATTAGACACCATCATCACCTAGAAGGTCACACCGGGACATCACAAGTGTTAGCTACCATACCACGAAATTATTGGATTGTTAAAGGAACCAGTGCAGTTAAACGAGTGATAGGTAGATGTGTGAGGTGTATACGCGTGACGGCCACATTAGGCCAACAGATGATGGCACCTCTCCCCAAGTGTCGAGTGCAGCAAGGCTGGTTTTGCTTCTCCTCCGTCGGGATAGACTATTTTGGGCCGTTGATAGTGCGTCGGAGAAGAAGTGAGGAAAAAAGATATGGATGCCTATTCACGTGTCTCCAAACACGTGCCGTACATTTGGAAGTAGCTTTCAATTTGAGTACTGATGCTTTTATAATGGCTTTAATACGTTTCATAGGAAGGAGAGGAACTCCTAATGAAATCTATAGCGACAATGGAACTAACTTTGTCGGGGCCACTTCCGAATTACGGGCTAATATGAGTGTGTGGAACAAGCATAGAATAAACGACTTAACAGTATCGAAGGGTATACGCTGGCATTTCAACCCCCCACTAACTAGCCATCGGGGCGGAGTTTGGGAGAGGTTAATACGGTCTGTTCGGGGGATCTTACTATTTATTTCCAACGGGCAAATATTACACGATGATAGTTTGGCAACTTATTTTGTGGAGGTAGAACGAATTTTAAACAACCGCCCAATCGTTCCTGCGACGTCAGATGAAAAGGATGATTTGGTGCTCACGCCAAACACTTTGTTATTACCAAGAGACAGTGATGGTGCGAATGAGAGGTGTAGTAAGAAGAGATGTGCGAAAGCTCTGCCTTCTAGAGGGAGCCGAGTAATTGTGGATTGTAGCTTAGGTTTATGGATGTACAGGCGTACTGTTGTAAGTCCTGTGCCTCCCATTGATATAGAGCAGTTAGTAAGGAGAGCCATGACAGAAATGTATTCTAAGGTGTCTTTGCGTAGCTGGAGGGATTTTGGGGGCCGGTGTAACGGAAAAAGAACAGTGAAAATCCCTCTGCAGCTTCTTTGTTGAACAGTATTTTCATTTATTTGTTCCTTCTCTCTTTTGTGTATTCCAACCTTTGTTTCGACCTCGTTTAACCATGTCTTTTGTTCTTCAGTCTTCCCCGTTTGAGCCTTTATTATGTGACTTTGATTAAAGACTTATTTTTGTTACCTAATTTTCTATTGCATGTTGCCGGACCATTGACAGTAAGGTTGTGTTTGACTAAGCTCAAGGTCACGGCGTGGTTCATTTTGTGACTGTTAACCCTCTGACTGTCTGCTTGGGAGAATTGCTGCAATCCCTGCAGATAGATATTTGATCCCATCTTATTGGGAATATTTGTATTGATTCTCAGGTATCAAACCCTTTAGTATTAACTGTCTCTTTCATTGTTTAGCGCGCTACTTTGCGTTAGAGAAACTTCTGACTGTATAGCACAGGCTGTACCGTTTGAGGTATTTTGTATTTTTGATGTAATTTGTTCTGTTTTCTTAATTAGAACCGTTTATATTGAGCACAGAGTTTGTGTTTTGATATAATATAATACGAGTATCTCAAAGACGCGTTGTGAGCTATACAGAGGAACTTGGTCTGGTCTAATCGAATAAATTTTGGGTTCGTCAGTCCGTTGTTCCAACCGAATATTGGCTGTTCGGTCGTTACACTCAGGTCTCTTTCCTTTGGAATCTTGACGAGGTGTCCTCCTTTCCAGTCCATCGGCAGCTTCTTGTTTTCATTTATTTGTTCCTTCTCTCTTTTGTGTATTCCAACCTTTGTTTCGACCTCGTTTAACCATGTCTTTTGTTCTTCAGTCTTCCCCGTTTGAGCCTTTATTATGTGACTTTGATTAAAGACTTATTTTTGTTACCTAATTTTCTATTGCATGTTGCCGGACCATTGACAGTAAGGTTGTGTTTGACTAAGCTCAAGGTCACGGCGTGGTTCATTTTGTGACTGTTAACCCTCTGACTGTCTGCTTGGGAGAATTGCTGCAATCCCTGCAGATAGATATTTGATCCCATCTTATTGGGAATATTTGTATTGATTCTCAGGTATCAAACCCTTTAGTATTAACTGTCTCTTTCATTGTTTAGCGCGCTACTTTGCGTTAGAGAAACTTCTGACTGTATAGCACAGGCTGTACCGTTTGAGGTATTTTGTATTTTTGATGTAATTTGTTCTGTTTTCTTAATTAGAACCGTTTATATTGAGCACAGAGTTTGTGTTTTGATATAATATAATACGAGTATCTCAAAGACGCGTTGTGAGCTATACAGAGGAACTTGGTCTGGTCTAATCGAATAAATTTTGGGTTCGTCAGTCCGTTGTTCCAACCGAATATTGGCTGTTCGGTCGTTACAGTTCTCAAACGAACAGTAATCTCAAGTGACAAACTCTGGAATGCCTGGAAAGCACAATAAGGTCAACGAAAACTTGGCATTGGGCCACGGAGAAATGCAATCGGATACACCTCCAGATGTACGGCAAGTCAAATTAGATGCATTTTCATGTCATGGCTCTAATGTTAGTTTATTAAGTAAACGTAGTAAAGTTAGCTCTAGGATTACCTTAGCAGAGTTAAAAGAAAGGCAATTATTAGAAATGAGGGACTTGAAAGATAGACAGAGGAAACAACTACTGTGCTTTCAGAGAGAGTTTGGGTCGTTAAGGCTGAACAAAAGCACGTGTAGCAAATTATCTTCTGTTTCTAACTGTGATGACAGAGAAAAGGAGTACGTTCACAGGTTCGTAAGTCCTTCTCATGACCTTAGGATAAAGTCTCTAGAAAAGTCAAAACGGTTAGATTATCCAGGAACGAAGGAGAAAGTGACCTTGGAATCTCTAAGTGTAGGTCATGAACTTCCAACAGTAGAGCACGATGCCTACTTCGATGAAAGTTATAATATTGTTCCTTTACCTAGAGGAGTGGCTGAGGAAGACATTGCTACCCCTGTTATTGGCAATGAGTCTGGTATGTGTAAAGCTGGCTTCACCAAAAATGATGCTCCCATAGCCGTATTACTCCCTATTGTTGGAAGAACTAGACATCAAGTGACTGTGGAAATGGATGGAAAGGACAGTCATGTGGGAGACGATGCTCGACCGAAACGTGTTATCCTGACACTGAAGTACCGAATTGAACATGGTATTGCGACTAAGTGGGGTGATATGGAGAAGATGTGGTACCACACATTCTACAAAGGGTTGCGAGTGGCAACAGAGAAACATCCGGGGTTGTTGAGAGCAGTTTCATTGAACCCGAAGGCAAACTGTGAGATGACAAGGATCATGTTTGAGAGTTTTAATACACCAGGTACGTGTGCTGCTACTCAAACGGTGTTGTCGCTATGTACACTATGTACAACTGGTATAGTGTTGAACTTAGGTGACGGTGTGACCCACACAGTTCCGATTTATGAAGATTATGCGTTGCCTTATACTGTTTTGCGATTGGACTTTGCTGGTAGGGTTCTTGCCGACTTTAGGATGAAGATCCTGACTAAGACAGGTTGCAGTTCCTCTGTCTATTCGTGGAACATACTCAGGCGCAAACCACCGGACATCGTTTTACTCTATAGTAAGTCTAGAGTGGCACCTATAAAACAGGCAACTGTGCCTAGACTGGAACTAACAGCGGCAGTATTGAGTGCTAGAATGGGGGAAGTTTTAAATAAGAACCTTCCTCATGTGTTTGACAAGACTCACTTCTCGATGGATTCTATGATAGCACTGTACTATATAAAAAATACAGATAGTAGGTATTCCACCTTCGTGGCTAATCGTCTGGCCGCTATTCGTCATTTAACATCTGTGGACCAGTGGGGGCACGTAGAATCTAATGAAAATCCCGCTGACTGGACATCACGAGGCATACGGAAGGAGCTAGATTTAAAGAACTGGATTGAGGGTCCTTCCTTCTTGAGGAAGAGGGAGTCTGTAGGAACACTAACGCTTATGTGCGAAAACCCCCCAGAAAATGTTGAATTTAAAGGATGTCACACGACCAACGTAGTTGCGAAAAAACATAGCTCAAGTCCAATTCTGCTATATCACTCAAATTGGATAAAGCTGATTAAAGCGGTAGCATGGCTCAGAAGATACGTGATCTATGTAACCATCATGTACTCCCATCACGATGACAGGTCCCTAAGTGTGGGCTATCTGTCAGTTGATGAATTGGATGCAGCTAAACACAAGGTATTAGCCTTAGTGCAAAAGGGAGTGTATGGGGAAGCAGTTAAAGTGTCTCGATATAGTGGCGTAAGCGCAACTGTTATAAAAGAGCTAAAAAATCTTTCACCTACGCTAATCGATGGATTGCTTTGTGTCGGCGGACGATTAAATTACTCGGATTATCCACTCTCAATCAGACATCCGGCAATTTCACCCAGTCATCACTTCGTAACAGAACTTATTATTAGACACCATCATCACCTAGAAGGTCACACCGGGACATCACAAGTGTTAGCTACCATACCACGAAATTATTGGATTGTTAAAGGAACCAGTGCAGTTAAACGAGTGATAGGTAGATGTGTGAGGTGTATACGCGTGACGGCCACATTAGGCCAACAGATGATGGCACCTCTCCCCAAGTGTCGAGTGCAGCAAGGCTGGTTTTGCTTCTCCTCCGTCGGGATAGACTATTTTGGGCCGTTGATAGTGCGTCGGAGAAGAAGTGAGGAAAAAAGATATGGATGCCTATTCACGTGTCTCCAAACACGTGCCGTACATTTGGAAGTAGCTTTCAATTTGAGTACTGATGCTTTTATAATGGCTTTAATACGTTTCATAGGAAGGAGAGGAACTCCTAATGAAATCTATAGCGACAATGGAACTAACTTTGTCGGGGCCACTTCCGAATTACGGGCTAATATGAGTGTGTGGAACAAGCATAGAATAAACGACTTAACAGTATCGAAGGGTATACGCTGGCATTTCAACCCCCCACTAACTAGCCATCGGGGCGGAGTTTGGGAGAGGTTAATACGGTCTGTTCGGGGGATCTTACTATTTATTTCCAACGGGCAAATATTACACGATGATAGTTTGGCAACTTATTTTGTGGAGGTAGAACGAATTTTAAACAACCGCCCAATCGTTCCTGCGACGTCAGATGAAAAGGATGATTTGGTGCTCACGCCAAACACTTTGTTATTACTAAGAGACAGTGATGGTGCGAATGAGAGGTGTAGTAAGAAGAGATGTGCGAAAGCTCTGCCTTCTAGAGGGAGCCGAGTAATTGTGGATTGTAGCTTAGGTTTATGGATGTACAGGCGTACTGTTGTAAGTCCTGTGCCTCCCATTGATATAGAGCAGTTAGTAAGGAGAGCCATGACAGAAATGTATTCTAAGGTGTCTTTGCGTAGCTGGAGGGATTTTGGGGGCCGGTGTAACGGAAAAAGAACAGTGAAAATCCCTCTGCAGCTTCTTTGTTGAACAGTATTTTCATTTATTTGTTCCTTCTCTCTTTTGTGTATTCCAACCTTTGTTTCGACCTCGTTTAACCATGTCTTTTGTTCTTCAGTCTTCCCCGTTTGAGCCTTTATTATGTGACTTTGATTAAAGACTTATTTTTGTTACCTAATTTTCTATTGCATGTTGCCGGACCATTGACAGTAAGGTTGTGTTTGACTAAGCTCAAGGTCACGGCGTGGTTCATTTTGTGACTGTTAACCCTCTGACTGTCTGCTTGGGAGAATTGCTGCAATCCCTGCAGATAGATATTTGATCCCATCTTATTGGGAATATTTGTATTGATTCTCAGGTATCAAACCCTTTAGTATTAACTGTCTCTTTCATTGTTTAGCGCGCTACTTTGCGTTAGAGAAACTTCTGACTGTATAGCACAGGCTGTACCGTTTGAGGTATTTTGTATTTTTGATGTAATTTGTTCTGTTTTCTTAATTAGAACCGTTTATATTGAGCACAGAGTTTGTGTTTTGATATAATATAATACGAGTATCTCAAAGACGCGTTGTGAGCTATACAGAGGAACTTGGTCTGGTCTAATCGAATAAATTTTGGGTTCGTCAGTCCGTTGTTCCAACCGAATATTGGCTGTTCGGTCGTTACACTCAGGTCTCTTTCCTTTGGAATCTTGACGAGGTGTCCTCCTTTCCAGTCCATCGGCACTTGTTCCTCCTCACAAATCTTTTTGAATAGAAGGCGAAGCATGTTTGTAGTTACTTCGATGTCCGACTTCAGTGTTTCAGCTGGTATGTCGTCGGATCATGCTGTTTTCTCTCTCTTGATTTGTCTGATGGTCATTCTATTTTCTTCCGTTGTTGGTGGATCAAAATCAATAGTAAGATCTAGGTGTGCTGCTTCGATGTACGGTGGATTAACTGGAGCCGGCCTATTCAGAATTTCCTCAAATTACTCTACCCATCTGTTTTGCTGTTGTTGAATTTCAGTGATCGGCCTGCCCTCTTTGTCCTTGACTGGTCTCTCTGGTTTACTATATTTCTTCGTTGTATTGTAAAGCTGTTTCATATTTCCTTCTCTTGCAGCTTTTTCTGCCGTCGTTGCTAGTTCTTCCACATATTTCTGCTTGACGGCTTCTATTTACTCAGCTTGTGCTTGGACTTCCTCTGCTCGTGTTTGGTTGCCGTTAATTGCTGTCTTCTTGTTTTTCCTTTCTTTGATCTTGTCCAGTGTTTCTATAGCGATCCATTCCATATGATGATGTTTCTTGAGGCCCAGAACCTCCTGACACCTTGAGGTTAATGCTTCTTTGATACTTTTTCAGTTGTCATCCATAGTAGTTTCTTCTTCTTACGGTAGATCCTGTAAGGCTTAGAACCTTTTGTTGAGAGATATCTTGAATTCATTGAGTTTGTCAGTATCTTGAAGGAAGGTTGTATTGTACATTTGTTTGTCCAGTTGTCCAGTTCTTCTTTAGGTGGTGATCTGAAGCTATGTCAGCTCCTCTCCTGGTTCTCACATCTTCCATTGTCCTTCGGAACTTTTTATTGATGCAAATATGATCTATCCGGTTCTCTGTGGTGTGGTCCGGTGAGATCCATGAAGCTTTGTGTATACGTTGGTGTGGAAATACTGTGCCGCCTATGACCAATTTGTTGAATGCACACAGATTTTCAAACTTTCCCCACCTCCGTTTCTCTCTCCCAGTCCATGTTGTCCCATGATATCTTCATATCCAGTGTTGTCTATTCCGACTTTGGCATTTAGATCTCCCATCAGAATAGTTAGGTCCTTTCTTGGGCATTTCTCTATGATTGATTGCAGCCCCCCATAGAATTGATCTTTAATGTCGTCGTTGCTGTAATTGTTGGGTGCATAACATTAGATATTATTAATCGTGATCCCCTCCTTCTTTGTTTTGAATAATGCTTTGATGTTTCTGGATCAGTGAGATTCCCATCCTGCAAGTACATTTCGTGATACTTTGGACTGCATTAGAGCAACTCCTTGAGTGTGTGGAGCATTTTCCTCTTCGTGACCGGAGTATAGCAGCATCTTCCCCGTATTTAGCCTGTGTTGTCCAGTTTAGGTCCAATGGGTTTCGCTGATTCCGAGTATTGCCAAGTTGTATCTCCTCATTTCCATTGCTATTCAACTGGTCTTCCCGGTCTCTCACATTGTCCGGACGTTCCATGTACCTATAAAAATTGTTGCCCTGGTTGTTAGAAGGAGCATCAGCCTCGTGGCTTCCGAAGAAACTCGGCTCTCACCATGAGGCGTCATATTTCTTCTAAATGAAGACCTTCTAACTCTCAGGGCAGAGTTTAAGTGGTTTGAATTATTTTCTCTGGTTAGTGTTTTTTTTAGCGTGTAAATCACCAACGTAGACGATCTATGTCGAAATGATCGGAGGCCTACTCCAGTTACACGGGAATGGTGTGACAAGCTAGCTAACGTCTAAGTCACACCTCGTGGTTAGCACCTTACGTGGACTACCCCATTGACGATCGAGATACCATAGATGCTTTGAAGACTGTACGACACAGAGGACGTTATTACAGAAATATATCAGTTAAAGTAGATACAAGCGAAAGTATGACCACCGCCGCATGTGCCAGTCCATGGTATACGATTAACTGATGCGGTTTGGTTGTCCTTGACCTCGACGTGGATTGATAATTTGTTCGATAATCAATGACCCAACTGCAGGATTATTTGACTAAGATTCAGTTGAATTTCACTGGCCCTACAAGAGACTTAGTTTTCTACGAGATGAGGTCCCCAACGCTATGCCCATCCTTCCTCCTTTACCCGAGCTTGGGACCGGTAATAACTCTAGAAGAGCTACAGACAGAGTTGTTGTAAAAGCTAGTGCCACGTAATTTCAGAAGAATCTCGAATTTTAACGTGAAGTTTAACCGCTCTTACGTACTAAGACCGTTTAACTTCCTAAAAGAGATCTGATTGAGTTAAAATAGTATTTCTGTCAACTTTTATCATGGCAAGGTATATCGTTTTGCTGTGGTATTGCTACAGACAGTCAACGAACCACAGGCATCAGATTAAGACAGTTGTGGTGTTTTTATGAACTAATGATTCCTTTGTACTGAATATGACTGATTTTAAATTCCAAATATGATACATTTGTTTGTGCTCACTTAGTTCTGTTTGGTGCTAATTGTGTTATTTCGAAGATTCCTTGTTAATACAATAATTCGAATACTTCTAGTCGTCACACTTGCGTCGTGATGAAGTCTGTGATAGAATAATTTAATATAAATTCAAATTTCGATGCATTTGAGGATTACATGAAAAGTTTCGAAATCTGGTCTATGACTATAAAGATGTTGATGGTAATAATATTGTGGCTCGTTTCCTTATATTCATCGGAAAACAAACCTGAAGCTTGTTAGTAATGTTGGAATTTTCAGATAAGCGTATTTCACTTCCTTGTGCAACTCTTAAGGAACCACTACTAGATCATGTAAATTGTGCAAATTGAGAGTGCTGTAACAGAGAAATATTTCATAAAACTATTCATCAGGATGTCAGGAATTCCACTTCATTACCAAGTCAACACAATCCAATGCGTACTCAAAGTTATGTAGATGATTCATCCCGATCAACCAACAAAGGAAAAGTAAAGGCGAACAAAGAGGAAACGCGCCAAAATTTTTGCTTTTTCGCCTGTCCCTAGGAAATAATGCGGATTTCCCCTTTTTGTCGCTCTGTTGGGAAAATGTTCTACCTTTTGCCTAAATATCCGCCGATGCCGGACACGAAGATGGACACATGTTTGGTCAGTGTTTGTCCTGTGGCAAATTTCACTTATATAATACATGTGTATTTCGAAATTCTAAATGCTCTCAATGTGGCAAGATTCAACACATTCAGTCAGATTGTATTATTACTGTCTATTTCGTTGCAAGTAATGCTAGACTTTGTAATTCCGATTCTTCTGATTTGAATGTTCCAAATCAGTCATACTGTAATCAGATTCATGACATTATTTTACCAGATATGCATTGTTCTCATGATTCATGGATTTCTAATGAAATTATTTACAGATATGTGGAAAATATGTTGAGTTCATCAAATCCTGATCAGATCTCTGATGTTGTGGAATCAGATGTTGGACCTTCTCACAACCAGTGTTTTTCAAGTACAATTCTTAGTCAGTGGTATGACGAATCAGAGGAAATGGTAAGCCGGTCAGAGAACCGATTCGTCCATATATGAAGTTCGCACAGGCAGAAAATTCAGATCGAGTCCAAAATTATCCTAATGAGATTGAGGTAGATGCATATTTTCCATCGGTTTGTTTTGCCGGTGAATCAAGCCCATATGAATCACATATGTTTATTACACATATCAATGCATATTTACCTGATAACCGGGACAACGACGTCGTGTATCCTAACGTGAAAAGCGGAAGGAATATG